CCCCCCCCCCCCAAGCCAGGGAAGACGATGCTCGTTTGAACAATCTGTTCGATGAGGCTTTAGTGTGATTTTAGCACCGTCATCTGCCTTCTAGTAGTGGCCTTAGCATTAAGGAGTCAGAGGAGAGCGCAGGCTGAGGCTTCCTTATGCTATCATCTGTATAAGGCTTGATATTCCCTAACCTTCCACCTTCACAGCGCCTTGCCTCAGCTAAGACGGGTTAATAAAACTGTTTTTAACACCCTGCTCTCTTTTCAGAGGGTGTGTTAAATTGCTCTTTCACCAATGATTCGGTGTCTGTGAAAGAACTGGGTCACAAGCACTCTCTTCAAGGAGGTAGTGCACACAAACTGAATTCCGATTCTGATAGCACCTTCACTTTCATGACTGCAGCCGCTTCTAAAAAGACACATCATGCTCAGATTACTGAACGCATTTTTTTATGTGAAAGATGAAAGGAACAAGAACTGCGTACTACACATCTTTGCACACATGGGTGGATATTAGTGGACAAAGCTTCTTCCTTACTGTCAGTCTTTTTATAATTTACTGTGTGGTTGCATGTAGGTGAAAGTGTTGCTACTGCATTTAGCAACTCCGAATAGACTCAGCATTTGAGCTGCACTGTTTGTTAAACATTATTTGCTTCAGCAGTAAATGCAACAAAGCAATCCCATCCCACAGCAAATGAATGAGCACAGGTCCCTAGTTATCACTGCTTATTGTTCCAATCAGGCTGGCTTTGAAAGGGAAGGCACACTCTCCTTTGGACAGCTCATTAAGATAACACACAAACGTGGCTCCCCATCATCCTGGGTTTATTAAAGTGAGGCTCATTTTAGCTCTTTTGTCTCATGCAGGAACCTCTGGCTTTGTCAGCGCAATTGAAGCCAGATGGCAAAACAAAGCTGYCTGTCTGAATTGCTTAGAGAGGGATCTCATAAGACAGAGCCATTAGCTTGACTTCACAAGCTCACCGCCCAGAATATCCACCTGGTTCCCCCAGGTGCATCAACGATGACGAAAAGAGGAGAGGGCAAGTGTGGCTGCGTGTTTCTGTCTTGTCGTCGAGGCGCAGACACACTACAGTTTCTCAAGCTGCCGTCTCCATTTCCCAGCCCCTTTAGCTAAAGCTGAACTATTAAGTCTTGCTAGTTGTGGGGAAGGCTGACCCGGCTCGTGGCTGCACAGATTTCTCTCTGAAACATTCATGAGAAAGGGAATAGAGAATAAAAGCCATTGTCCCCCTTCACTCAGAGACTCTCCTTCACCTCTCAGCTTATTAAAATCACATGGTATTAACTTTGGCGTTCACTGAAAGGCTAAATAATTCAATCAGAATAAAAAGTAAGTTAAATTAATAACTCTAATGACATTAATGCTTGAGGGAAAACTGCTAGGACTGTGAGGGGTAGTCACTGGAGCTAGTAATGCAGAAAAAGCTTGCCCCGAGTGCTAATGGAAAAATTAATTCTGGACTCATAAGGTCATATTTCTGCTAAGCAAAATATCGCAATCACCCTAATCACATGAAAAGAAGCACACAAAGCATTATTCTGTTTTGGTTCAGCAGTGCTCTTAAGAGGCAAAATATAAATACTCAGCAATTCTGGATTTTGAATAATCATTCTTTTTTCTTGCTGAGAGTTAGACGTTGGATTTTCTATTAGCACTCAGTGAAAAACATGTTTCTGAAGTAAATAAGAAGACAGAAAAAAAGGCAGGAATCTGGTTCTGTGACCAAAAAAGAAATCAAGCGGCCAACAGAATCTTTAAAATTCACTTTTAGCACACTCGTGAACTATCTCTATTTTATTTATCTATTCTATCTATTTTACACCAGCACAGACACATTTACACTGCAGTGTTGTGTGATGAACTTGGTGAGACATAGTAAATCTTTGAGTCTTCTTGCATTCATGTTGTCAGATAACTGGAAGTGAGGCTAACTTAAGAGATAAAAATTGAGAAAAAAATTGATAAGCTCTAGGTTTTATGATAAAGTCAAGATATAACGTAACAAATAACTTGAGGTCATTATGTTTTATAGACATTTTGGTTCATGCATAAATATAAAAGCTGTACGCTATGGCTCTTTCATGGCATCAAATTAAGTTATAAGGTTGTCACAAGCTCTTTTTCATACTTTTTATTGAACAGGCATAGATGCAAACACAGACAGATATGAAGGGTGAGCAATAAAGTGGATACAAAATGTTGAAAAATGAGGATATAAAGTTTTTTTGCCCAACAGCAATGTGAAAGCAACTTCATTAAGGTAGGCTGCCACAGCAAAGCAAACATGGCAAGAACTGTTGGCATTAACCACAACTATTAGCCAAATATTTCAGAAAGCACAGGTTTTTATTCTCTCGGAAAGTAATGAATGAATGTTAGGGGTGGTGCAAGATTGTGTTGTACTGTTGGTTTGTTTAAAAAGTCTTGGAAAAAAAATCAAACATACTTAAAGTGAACAAAAATAAACCATTACTCAGCCAGAATTGCAATCAGTTTGCTTTGATAGACAGTATTTGCCTGCGGGACAGGATAGAAAAACTGCTGGCTTTTTGAGAGACCAAAATTGTAGAGATAGATTTTACTGTTATAGTTGTGAGTTTATCACTTACTGTAGTAGCATTTACAAACCTGCATCAAACTGTATTCTAGGCAGAGTGCAGCATGTAAACAACACCATAAATAAATGGTTTGAAGGATGCATACATGAATAGCGGCTGTGCAACTTTAGAAAATGAAATTTCAGCTGACAGTGTTTCCTGACCACATGAGAGGATAAAAGTTCACCAGGTGTGGATTCACTGACCTGTCTTTGATTCCTCTTCTTCCAGCTCTTTGGCCTCCTCAGCTGTGGGAAGACAGAGGTGTTATTTTCAACAGGATCCAGAGAACAGAGGCAGATGCATAATGACATCACTTCAGCAGAAGCCCACAGTGAGCAGAGATTTTACACTTCAGAGGACAGGCTGCGATGATGACAACGCTCAACATAAAAGTTTCACAAAAACACTATACACATGCACACATCTATATATACCATTTAATAAAATTAGACTTCAGCTGTGGGTCTGTAGAAAACCCACGGTTAATAGGGTTAAGGAGGACATCRAGTGAAGGCTCTCACCTTTTGGAAAAACAATGCCCCAACATAAAGGCCACAAACAATCTTATCAAAATTCTCATTTTGATCTGGCTCAAATTTTAAACAGATTATTCAACAGAGCTTAATGACAAGAAAACATAATTTTTATGTTTATAATGCTGTATTGCACAATTTCTTGACTGATTCCAGAGACTTTAATCTGCTTGAGAAGAAAAAAAATGTTATTAGAGCAGCAGTAGAATGAACTATTTCAAACTGTCTGTGGATAAAATAAATAAACAAAAGTTTATCCTTAAGTGTATCTTCCACTGTCTTATAAGGTGATGAAATAACATTAAAATTATATATTTTACCTTACTTTGCTTTGCATACARTATGTCACGGTATCATTAGTGATCCCAGTGAGATAAGCAGCTGGTACAACTCGGTGCGGTTAGTCTCTCTGTAAAGCCTAATGTTAAAAATGTGGAAACGTTTTGGGGTGAAAAAGCAACAACACAAAAGCACCTTGAAAAAGCAATACATTTACTACTTTCACATTCTCAGAACTGCAGTTCAAAATTAATACAGATGTGTGAAACCTTTTCCATTCCACCAACCATGCTACCAATGTGGCTGGAAATACCTTGAGGGAGCGGGCTTTGATGGAAGCGTGAGGCTCATTTAAAGGCACCTTAAGGTCAGGTCRAATACGAGGGCACCCAGAGAGAAGCGAGTGAGAGCTGCCTCCCTTGTACACAGAGTGATGCAACTTTATACCCCTGCTGGTTGTGTTCACAATGTGTGGGGTGAGAAAGATGGTTATGGCTTAAGTGCAAAGGCTGGACAAAACACGATGAAAGACAGGAGAGTCTTGGGACAGAAACAGCTGCTCATTGAAGCTAGAGGAATGTTACTGTTCCACTCTGTGTCATCCTGCCTTCTGCTCATTTCTCCCCCAACAACTGAAGTGGTGCTGGACTAYTGCTACAAAAACCATCTAAAAAACAGCTGTGATTTCATAAGGGATTTAAATGTAGGGGAAATAAATGGCCCTAGTTTGTAATGCTGTGGCCCTTTGAGCACATTGATCTGTTGCCTAATTAATTTTTTGTGCAAACCCAAGGTTGAAGACTTATAGACATTATAGGGTACACAGCTTTGTGACCTCTGCATTTGTACAACACAGTTTAAAAGAAAATGTTTCATATTTCCATTATTAACACTTGATTTAAAGCATATGTCCAGTTAATAGGGATCCAGAGTGGACAGGCAGCTGACAGCATGGTCCATCGACTACCTCACCAACAGACCACAGTATGTGAGGCTCCGCGACTGTGTGTCTGATGTGGTAGTCTGCAGCACGGGGGCACCACAGGGCACGGTCCTCTCACCCTTTCTGTTCAGTCTGTACACGTCAGACTTCAGGTACAACTCGGACCACTGCCACTTTCAGAAGTTCTCGGATGATACGGTCATCATTGGATGCGTATCAGACGGGAATGATGAGGAATACAGGGGGGTCATCAGTGACTTTGYTGGCTGGTGTGAGACCAACGCTCTCCAAATCAATGCCAGCAAGACCAAGGAAATGGTCATAGACCTCAGGAGGAAGTCACCCCCCACAGCACCGGTGAACATCCAGGGAAAAGACGTTGAGACAGTGGACTCTTACAAGTACCTGGGTGTTCACCTCAACAACAAGCTGGACTGGACTACAAACACAGATGTCCTGTATAAGAAGGGCCAGAGCCGACTCCACCTACTGAGGAGAGTGAGGTCCTTCGGTGTCTGCAGGACTCTGTTAAAAACATTCTACGACACGGTGGTAGCATCTGCCATMYTCTATGKAGTGGTCTGCTGGGGGGCTGGATGTACCGAAAGGGACAGGAACAGGATGGACAAATTGGTACGGAGGTCAAGCTCTGTGCTGGGATGTCCTCTGGAGCCTGTGGTTGTGGTGGATGAGAGGAGGATGTAAGCAAAGCTGACAGCCATCATGGACAACCCCCACCACCCTCTGCATGAAACTGTGGGGGAGCTGAGCATCTCCTTCAGTCAGAGACTTAAACATCCTCACTGCAGGATGGAGCGCTTCTGTAGGTCATTCATTCCAACTGCAGTTAGACTGTATAACACATCATGATGTCATCAGTTAGACTGTATAACACATCATGATGTTATCAGTCACTTGGACAATTCACCCACACTGCCATCACTAATATGCACGTTCATATACATCCATTTTTGTACTGAAATTTACAGTGTATATGTATATAAATATGCATATGTGTTTATGTATATGTGCACTGGTATATGTACATTACAATACAGTATATCACATGTATATTGTGGGGTTGTTTTTGTTTTTTGTTTGTTATCTTTTATTTATCTTTCATTTTTCTTCTCAGCCTCTCCTGTATTAAGCTGCAGTAATATGCAAATTTCCCCACTATGGGATCAATAGTTGTATCTTATCTTATCTTATCTTAATACAATTTTGGTCAAGGGAGTTTTGTGAAAAAAAAAATCCCTATAGAATAGAGACAAAATGAACCTTTCAAGTGTCAGTAATAATCCAAGCGTCACATAGAAACAAAACAGATCAATGGTAGCTTTTAGACTGCGATAAGCCTTATCTATCTAAAGGTTAACCTTTGTAAACCATTTGCACCTCATTGGTAAAAGCCTGTAGGGAAAACACCAGCTCCCTTATGATTTCCTTCACTCACATAGGGGAAATCTGTCCCGCGTCGATTACACATGTTCCCAAGAGAAGGTTTGATTAAATCTCATGCTTGTCTGAATGGAAAAGCAGCTTTGGAGGAATGGATCACTGGCTTTGGCTAGGTTATTGAAAGCATATTTAGAAACAAGAGCCTTTTTACATAGTCATTATGCAAAGAAGGCCAAACAGAGGAGTGAATGATAAAATACAATATCTATGAGAGCAGAGTAACATTGGTGCTGAGCTACAACACTGATTCTGAGACTGAGCTTCCTCCACCAACTGCAGTATCACAAACTGCTCTGCTCTGTTATGACACACATCCCACTGCTCCACATACATTATGACAAGGAAGAAAAATGACTTACTCACTTCTCCACTTTTGCTGACCTTCTACCCTCGCTATCCAGACATAGCGAAGAGAGAGTCAACTTCAATCTGGCCAAACCCAAAAATACCATTAAAAGATAAGACAACCACAATTAGGTTGCACATCCCTGTTTTCTGCCCTCCTAACAGCTCAAGATGTGTGTAAGGCAACCTTATTATGCCTTTTTATATATTTATATATTATCACTCTGTCAGGAGTATAATAGACTGAATGATTTGTGAAGACGTCACAGTCTTCAGGTTTGTACTTGGAAAACCCCGAGGACTCCAGAAATGCTGCTGGCAGGGGACAAAATAAGATTTAACATTTCAATAAGGCAGACACTGGACGACCTCATAATGAATCCTGCCTTCAGTGTTAGGACTGCAGGCGAGACGAACACTTCCTCATCCAGTCCACTGAAGAAAAGGGCCCCGGAACCCTTCGAGGCCCTTCCTTGTGGGAGGAACTGCATTATATTTCTCTCTTTCCAATTCATTTGATTTCATATGTTCCATGCAGCTATTTACTCTTTCCTCTGAGTCTGTGTCACTTCCATATTTATTTTTAAACCTCTGGGCCCTGGTGCAGACTCTGGCTGACCTTTATTTAAATGTCTTCTCCACTCTGAGCAGAACTCATTACAGCAGAGCTGGTGGCTTTGTAGTATCTATCTCATTTGAAAAGGTTTTCTTTTTGCACTTGCGGCAACACTCAGTTATTCCGCAAAGCTAATTACTGGAGTCGAGTAATGATGTTCTTCTCTGTCATGGACGTGTCCCACCATTTAAGAGTCTGCTATATGCATTAACCAAAACTCCTCAAAGTTCTTTGAGTTTCCATTTCTTCGGTAATTTCTGCTCAGTCTCATTTGCCATCCATGTATTGGGCCTTCCAAGTGTAACAACATGCTATTGCTGAAAACATGAAATGTGGGAATTAATTTTTCTAATACAGAATTAAGTTTTTTGTTTAGAAAAACAACATAATTGGCCCAAAACAAATGTGTTTAAGAAAATAAACATTTCTAAATAAATATCAAGTAACGGAATAACATAAAAACATATTTAGCTAAATATCATATTAAACAGCCTAACTGACTTTAACCAGGATGATATTAACATTTGTTTCTGCCAGGCAGCAGGAATAGTTTTCTTTGACTGTCATTTTTTTTAATCCCCAAAGACAAGGTGGACATACGCAGTGGTGGACAGTAACGAAGTACATTTACTTTATTACTGTAATTAAGTACATTTTTTGAGTATCTTTACTTTACTTGAGTAGTTATTTATTTGGGAACTTTTTACTTTTACTCAACTACATTTCAAAGACAAATATTGTACTTTTTACTCCACTACATTTCTAGGA